AACATACAGACTGGCGTATCAATCACACTCGCGACATCAACAACGGCGCCACTCTCCCGGCATCTCTTACCTTGCATTATTACGCTCCAGCCTCCGAGGACAATCTGTTGCCCATACTTCGTCGAGTTGCGCCCTACTGTTCATGTCTCTAGCCGCCTGCACAGCTTTGTTGTGGCCGACATCCGGTTGCAGCTGTCAGTGTCTTCGATCGCATTGGTTGGCCTTTCTGCGGGTCGAGACGTCAAGGGCGACCATGGGCTGCGTCTTGAACCCGCTTGGTGCGAGTCGTTTGAGAGGCGGGCAAAGAAGGGTGGCTTCGTGCATGAAGGGCGATGGGACTGCCGTCTGGCCATGAAAATGGTGTGGATTTACTGGCGAGCCTTGGCGCCGATGGGCGCAGAGATTCTGGTCTAACAAGGGCTGCACGTAACTGTTGCCTTCCTTCGACCCCAAAGTACGGTAAGGTAGCATCACTGAACCTTTCTGACTACATATTTGTGTCCTGCTTGCGATGATGAATGTCATCAATCAAGTTTCATTCGTTGTACGAACAGAGTGCGTGCGAGGGATTAACATTCCCCAACGAACAGACTGACTTCGCCACTATATCAAATAGAGGAATCGCACGACACGTTTAGAAGTCGACATGTCTCAAGATGAGTGTCTACGCTGGGATGCCGCATTCACTTTCAGCGTCCGTGAGGTGAGGCACAAGGAGCCAGGTGCACAGTTGCTTTAACTGCAACCGTACCCTTCTGAGCCACTCCGTGTCAAGGCGTAAGACTTCAAGGTCGCAGAAGCTGCAATTGCGATTGCAATCCTTTTTCCTTCATTGTAGCTTGCACTTTGCAAGTGCTTTTAGGCACTGTAATGCATTAGCTGAGTGACGGCATAAATTGCTTTCAAAATCCTTGTTCTCCTCTACCATACTGGCAACGGTTGTCTCAATCGTCACAATAGGACAATTAACTCCTTGCTGGGCATATTTGTTTGCTTTTTGTTCGATTGAAGTCCCTGTGGCCGTTTTATACTCGAGAGTGTGATTTTCCCGGTAAGCCGTTGCAAATATCGCGGCTTAGAAGTAGAAATCTCTCCAGTGTACGCGGAGCGGCGCAAACTCCGGCGGTGGGGCGCGGCCCACACACTGAACACTATGAACTGAGACCACCAATATGGTTTGTCCAGTCGGCCTCCACTGTTGCACAAGACTCCGCTTATATGCTGACTCATGTGTCATCCTTCATCTTCTTGATTTCGGACACTTCAGCACTGATTAAGTGATCGCGCCGTGGGGGCTTCGAGATTGATGCTGGTTCCTGCCTGTGTACTGACAGGCGTGAGCGTCAATCCTTGCGCGCCGGGGTTGGGCTTTTCGGTGATTTTGCCTGAATTCCGGCCGGGCTTGGCTACCGCTGTCAGTGTCGGCGATGTCGGTGAAATGTCGGCGAAGTGTTCCGCGTCTGTCCGTGTTTGTTCCGACGTGCGTTGAAATGTGTCCTTCCCCCTAATGCCCCTTGCTGAGCACGAAATTGCATGTTTGCGGAGGCTAACCGGACTTCAACACTATGGTAATCACCATAACACAGAAATCCGGAAATTCTTCGGTCTAGGAGGCGCAAATGCAATGAAGTCCGAGCAACCCCCCACACGAGCAGAAACATGCCACATCCGAATCCGAATCCTGCGCACGAATGTCACAAATATGCGTTGCCCAACCCCATGACGATTCATCCGAGCCCGTGTTTTTGTCCACCAGCGTTGGCAGCGGGCCGGCCCGATCCGAGCCTGCAGGGGACTGCCCGTAGGAGTGGAGATGGCCCATCTTCGCCCACGTCAATGTCAGGCTGATGCAGCTCAGGTGCATCAAAAAGCAAGTTACTGAATGAAGCAGAAGAACGCTGCTGGTCGTGGTGAAAACGATAGGATGCAGAAGGTTCTGACGCATGGCGTAGCCTTCTTTTCCATTGAGGGTCGGGTATGAGACATGGGAGAAGGGAGAAGGCAGTTCGCGGGTGGCTATCAAGGGATGAACAAGTTACACAGACAGTTGTGTGCATGTTAAACCTTGTCACACTTGACCACAACCTGGGCCGAAGACAATCAGTACACCAGCTGCTTCCAAATTGCGGACTTCCATTTTGGGTCTTTGGGTAAACAGAATTGATTTGCTTTCTGCAGCTTCGACGTGATTTTGCACAAGTTCTCCTGGACGGCCTGATTCCTCGAGACATGCAAAAGTGCCCAGAATGTGTTGGTTTTCGTGGATCGAGGTTAGATGCTGCTGTAGCGTTTGCTCTAAGTGCATACCATTGAATCTGAGGCCGAACTCCGAGCTTGAGGTCTCTAGAAATTGAATACGGCGCACTCGGAGCTATCTACGGAGACGTCTTCCTTTGTTGCACTCAATTGCTGGATGATGTCGCCCCATCGGCACATACCATTTCGTCTTAGCCAAATGACAGAGACACTCTTGGATTCGGGGCCCCAGAGCTCCCCTTCAAAAGCTCCCAACGCCTTCTGAGCTTACGCAGCGCAAACGAGCTGTAGGAGCTTACGGATCCCGCGCCCACCTTAACACTGGAAAGCTTTCACCCACGTCGTTTTCTAGAAGCTACCACGGAGGCGATAGGGTCTACCTGGGGCCCACAAGCTGAAGCTCCCACTTGACGGCATCGTGGTGTAGACTTTCAGATGGTATTCAAGATTTGGCTTGTAACTCTGCGTCGAAACCTGCCGAACTGTGATACGAAAACCACCAGTTTTACAGTGGAAATGTGGCGACGGGGAGCTTAGCTGAGATGGTACAGGGACATAGAGTTTCTTTCCCCTCAAAGTTGTGATCATCCCCCTGAGAAGGTCTAACGTGCCCCCGGGACCTGGCGTAGGGGATGGAGCGACTCGGGCTTGAGCAGTTCTGCGACTGTCACAATTGTATTGTAACTGCCGTCGATGACACAGCCATATAACTTGAACATCAGTGATAGCATATCCTCCAGATTGCATAATCGTTTGGCTACGTTCATCTCATCGAAGCGGAGGATCCGGCGTCCCACCTGCGTTTCATCATTGGTTCCAGGCGCTAACAGAATCAACTCTAGCGGCACCTTGCAGTTGCTGTCAGTAAAAGCTCTAATGACTAGCTATTAAAACCCACATTGCTGTGTAGACAACATCCCTCGATTGAGTAGGATTCCACGAATTTCGTAACATGTTGCGCTGTGCGTTCTCTTTGACTTGATAGATCTCACCCGGTGTCTCGTCGTCGTATTCTACGGCCGTCAACCCAACTCCGATGACACCATTGTCCAGCATCATGCTATTCAGTGCACTCGTTCTCAGCTTGCCCGACAGGCAGACACCACTCCGACTTCAAGCTGGGAAAGAGAATTTCGCGTATGACGGCTGACCCATTTCAACAATACGTCCCACTCACCTCCTTCAAAGGAGTCGATTCTATGGTGCAGGTGCGTCACGCCCTCGGCATGACAATCCTGGTGACAGCTCTTCCGATATGTTGCCTGTCTCATCTAGGCCGCGATATTCTTTTTCTTGGGGCTCGACGCAGCTATCAGTACTACTCAATCTCGACAACGCACAGTGCTGCATTCTGCTGGAAATTGGCACCCTTCCACAACTCTGCAATAAAGCGTCTCCGAAAAGCTCCTGACTTGTTGCGTCCCTGATGAACGTTTGACCCGAACTCATTCACTGTGACCTGGGTCAACGCGGCCGAGATAAGACACGTCCAAAATACAAGTCCAAGGCACAGCCCCTCCAGACCTAGAAGCTGGTGCTGCGAAGATATTTTGTGTCATATGTTTCGTCGCCATGGCTGATTCATGGATCTTAACTCTCAACATCCGCACGGTTGACGCTTTTTTCTTTTACCCGTTGCAATTGTCGAGTCCTGTTAATCACCACACCCGCTCCATCTCCGCGGGGGTTGCTTGAGCAGGCGAAAAGGTTCCTGCCGCGAGGGCTGCCTGGATGATGGAGGATTCGCCGGTTCGGACGATAGAGCAGCGACCAGCTCCAGCCAACCCCGGCCGTCCGGCTTGTAGAGGCTGGTCAAACTGTCCAAACCCCGACGGGCTTGGAGGCAGTCAGACCCGATTAAGAGCCAGTAAGTCGACGTTCACGATAACAGTCGATAACTACCTGAGCGAGATCCTGGCCGTAACTGGCTCAATCGTGTACCTAACACTGGCTAGGCTTCGAGAGCCAGCCCGCAAAGCTCCAGAAGAAACTTACCGCCGGCGAGGTCGCGGGCCACGGCCACGGGTTGCTGTCTTGGCTCCGATAATACCAACCAACAAATCTCCGATAAGCTGCCTCGCTCCACGATTCTCTTGGCTTTGGTCCGTTGCACTTCATCATTTACATCGAAAGCGATAGTTAATGCGAGCCGGAGAACCAAGAGCCTTCAGCCAAGGCGCTGGAAACCATTCGATAGCTCTGCCCAGCTGGTATCAACCCCCTCTGACAAGTTGCTGTCAGAGGCCTGCCTTGCTTAGACCGCCATTCAGCCCCCCCGCAAGGTATTTGAGACCATTTGGGGGCAACCCAAAATAATAACTATGGCGACTTCAAGAAAGTCTGGAGGTGTTCTGCCAGTGAAGATCTTCCACTCATTATACTCCACGGCGTATAAAATTCCATGAAACCTGAATTTGAGAATTGCAGCATTATGTGTGGTTCATATTGCCTGATAGTAGTCTGACAACGTACGGAAAAAACTGAAATGCGATACATCTCCCGAACGCGCCAATTTTGGATATTACATACGGCGGTAACGGGTGCTATAAAAAGAAAGAAAAAAGGGTTCATGCTCTCTTCTTAGCTGGATCTGGCCGTGTTACTCCTGAGGGTCAGGCTTTGTCCAGAGGAAAGAACATCGCATCTGGTGTAGGAAGACTGGCTAAGACAAAAGAGTCGCTAGAGCTGTCTTTCGCGGAAGCTGAAGGTGTCTCGAATTCGGAAACAGAGGCTTCTGTCTTATTTCAAGCGTCTTGCTGCGCCAAAAAGCCCGATTCAACGTCCTCACCCACTACAAAGCCATCATCAAGCATCGTAACACCCGTAGAATGCCAGATCAGAAATGGCTCTTAACGGTGTCAGTGTACGGAATAGAGATCTTACCCGTAATTTCCCACTCGTTTTTTCTCACTTGCCACGTCGCCCTCTGACCGCTTCGTGACGGCAGCAGCCCCGAAATCAACATTTCAACGCGAGTACCAGTAACAGCCCGACCGCCCATTCGCTGCGTATCAATCGCCCCTGTAGCAGCGACAATTGATCTCTCCCGCATTACCCTGCTCCGGGTTCCGGTAGTAGTCGTCCTGGCCAAAGATGTTGCCAGCGCAAATGACGGAAGAATATCCGTTAAAGTTCCGTAACGCGTAGCCGATGTTTATCGCAAACTGCTTCCCGGTGGCATCCCATCAGTTGCTAGCCAGGGAGCAGTCGTCGATAACACTAAAAGTGTAATTGCGTTTGAACGTCCAAGACTTGTCGGCTGGATGACCCTGGTCGCCGTGTCAGACAAGTAGAAATGCAACGAGGGCGATATCAACTTACATTCCAGTTCACGGGGTCATCACCGACAGGAACAAGCTAGTTCTCATCATAGCTGCTTCAGCCCTAAGTAACGCCGTTGACTGTTTTTTGGGTATACCAGATTAGTCTGCAGTTAGTACAATCCGACCCGCCATAGAAAGATTTCCAAAGTCGTGAGAACATGAGACAACTCACAGTCAGTGTTAGACCCTCAAACCCAGCCTATCCACAGGTCGTCGCAGTCATCATATTCTATCTCAGGGTCCATCTTGCCGGCGTTCTGCGTCATATAGTTCATCATCCCTAGAGAATCTCATGCTTATCAGAAACTAGACCCTTAATTCAGGAAAGCTGAGGGCAACATACCAATGCATTAACCTCCTAGACCGTTTTAAACGCTTGGAACACACTCATGGCTCCGCTCGTTCGTTGCCCGGAAGTTACCACCCTCCTTGCTCAATGCCCATGGAAACTCATCGCACTCGACCTTCATCAACGAACCCGAGTATCCGATAGCCGAATGCATGAAGGCTGTCTCGTAAGGACACGAATCCAGGTCGCTGACCAGATTCAGGCATTGCTGTTTGTGACGTCAATTGGCTCTTTCCTTATGCTTAGGCAGCATGGCCGGGGCATGGATCAAGGTGGCTGGCAGGGTTATCGTCTTGTTACCCTAGCACAGAGAAAAAGTTCTCCAAACTCGACCGAAAATATATCTGAGTTGAAGAGGGGGGAATGCGCCACAGTTGACTACAGTTCTTATTAGTTTTATCCGTAGTCAGGCGGGATTGAGTGGCTTGTTCACTGACATCGAAGTTCCGGCAGCTTCAGAGAAGGGCTGTCACCTGCAGGCCACTGAATCTGCTGCGTGAATTAGGGCAGCTGGGGATCTGCAGAGGTTTGCCAGCCAAAAGAGTCCATACGTTGAACCGGATTTTCATACCCAGGTCCATGCTATCATCATATCGTTTGAAAAGATACATGGGGTCGAGAAGCGTAGTCTCGGCTAGGGTGTCGTTGGCGTAAGACTGCCCCATGTCGTCTTCAGAGTTCGGTTGGTTTATCAGCCTGACCATGCGTTCCCTGTTGCCCTGTAGGTTTATTGAAACGAAGGACTTAGATGGTATGCTTCCTTGGGTCAGGTCAATAGGCCAATCGATCTTTGAGCGCCCAACTCGCCTAGTCAAGAGGGTGGCCTCGGCCTTGAACCCCAGCTGATAGTAGAAGTACGAGCCGTAGATGTAGTCAAAGCCACCAATGCAGGGACTGATGGTGCTAGGCACGATGAACTGCAAACTACCCGTGATGAGGCCGTGATTTAGGCATTAATCAAAGTACTGCTGGCAGTGTAGGAGCCGCCGCCGATGCGGATACCGATATTGGCCTATGGCAAAGATGTCAGGATGGCCGGAGCGAAAGTATTGAACAGGCCAAACTTACCTCTGATTGTAAAATGACATCAATTTGGGTCTTGACTTGGACGCCGGCTTCAAAGGTTGGTGTCACGTGGAGTCCATTGGGCTTCTTGGGCTCTTCAGTCAGGCCGAGGTTCAGAATTTCGTCGTACTTTTCAACGTCACTGCTATCCTGCGGCCAAAACAAGCGTGATCTATCGAAGGTGACTCTCGCACCCGCTTTCGCCTCTCCGAGAATATTGACGTATCCGTTGATCTGCTCTGTTATTCGCTAACATCCGAGAGAACAAGGCAGCGTCGCCTAGCTACAGTAGGGGTTCATCGACTTACTTGGCCATATATAGCGAGCGTGGGACCGAACGCAGCAATTCCTTTAACCGCCGGCCCGGAGTATTTAAGAGTGTCGGCAATCTTCTTCCTGTCGGAAGAATAGCGGAGCTCTGCGTTACTAACCATCTTTAGACCGACGTCGGCCTCTGGCTAAATGCCGAAGAAGAAGAATATGTCCGGTTTTGTCGGCAGAATGAATGTGCCGGAGTAGTAGTGGCATATGCGGACTGCATGGTGATGTCGGCCTCTAGGTCGATGCGCAGGTTCGCCGACTAGGTCTTGCCAGGGTATCCCTACGACGCCTTGAATAAGTTGATCTTGTTGGCCCAGCCCATAGAAAGATCGCCGACTTAAGACCGCGTCACCGTAGTCACCTTCGCCAGCCAGCGCGTGGAAGTTCCCCACCAGCGGTTGGCGATGTTGCTTTCTCGCGACACAAGGCGGTGGTCCGGCTTTGGGTCGGCCGGCTCGGCCTCGAGGGGCACCATGGTCAGGTTTGTATCCCTTGAGCGTTTGGGTAGACGCTACTCCAACTCTTCGGCCTTGATGACGCGATCACGGATGTGGCGCGTTGTGAATCCCTCGTCAGGGATGTTTCTCTTTGCGCGCCTCGCGGTGTTTCCGTCTGCTTCCGAGTCTGTCAACTCAGACCAATACCCCAGCAGATTAGTAAAGTCGACACGAATCTGGATGGGACCGCGATTTTGACGAGCCAGTTAGAATTTATAGTCGATCTTGAATTCGTTTACGGGCTTATCGTGAATCTCAATCAAAGAACGATGCTGGAGATGATGCTTAGGCAACTGGAAGGCGTCGCTCACGGGCGTCATGGAGATGACGCGCCCAAATGGTCCTCCGCCGACATAGTCTGGCAGCGGAATGATAGTATCTTCGGGGTCGCCATTTCAAACGGTCTCGCATTCCTCGGCTCCGGGAGGAACATTGCAGTAAACTTGGAAGGTCTCTTCCATGTGCTCAGAAGCCCGCTCCAGTACAGGCTGGTTCTTGGTCAAGATATCTCGCTTTACACGGGGGACCGAGACTGTGCGCCAGACGACTGTGTGCGACTCCTTAAAGTTGGCATCCATGGCCTCTTCTTCGCCGTTGAGCACCATCAATCCGTAAGCGTCCGAGTCTTCGGGAACAGTCCCGTCAGCACGGATAGGGTCTCGGTGGTTGCTTTCGTATTGATTGTCGTACTGCCAAATCGCTTTGTCAGTGTCAGCATCGTTGGAACCCAGCTCGTACAGTCGATCACGGTCGACAGGCCAAGCCTTATTCCAAGTAGACGGCGGGTCGAAACAGAAACTGAACAACGGATCGTAATTTGGCGGTAACGATACACCATCACACGATATCTCGAAACGACCATCACTGTAGGCGTTTGCGCGAGGGGGGTTGAGGCCATCGGCAATTTCAACTTGCGTCTGCTTGCAACGTTGGGGCAGATAGTAAAGTTCTGGTTTGCCCTACTCTAGATCAGAAGGAGATGACAGGTCGTTGGCCCAGTTGCAGTTGCTGTAGCTGCGACCTGTGCGACAGCACAATGCGCTCTTGAAGGGGTCTCTCAAAGGAGTGCCCTTCTTTCCTGAAACGGGTGATACATATTACTCTCGGCAGAGAGCGACACCTTCTGGCTTGTTGTAGCGGTACGTCTGATAGTAGCAGCCGCTGGGGCACTCAGGGTTCTGGGTAGGGGAAAGAGGTCCTTGACAGCCGCTCCAGATACAATCGCCAATGACCTTGGTACTGCGGCAACACGAGGACCTCTTCCCAGAGTAACATTGCTTATTCTCTTTGGGCTCGATGGCTGTGTCGGCGCACTTTGAGCTCGAATGTGCCCGGACCGCATTTCCCGCTGCACCCAAACACATTGCGCCCTGGTTCGCAGTTCTACTCACAGTCTTGCGGCATCTAGCTTTTCGGATAGCAGATATAGCGGTACCAGCACCTCTTGGATGTTCCACCGGAAAGGGGCATGGGGTGTCTTTGCAAGGGGTTGTGGGCGGTCTCGACGGACATGGTCCCAGCAGGGCTGACTTGACCTCCTCCACACCCGTCCAAGGTTCCGTCGGTATACTTCTCGGTCACGAAACAGTCTTGAGCAGTAAACTGGCTGAAAAGATTGAAAAACCGGTCGGCGGAGTCATTATCGAGACCTTCGAGCTGCAGGTGCGAATGGTCTCCAAATAGCTCGTCCATGGCGGTGAAGTTGGACGTGTCTTGATCAATGGCCCAGATCATGAGACAGCTGACACATCAGCTAAAAAGACCCCAGCTTGGCCTGGAAGGAAACAGCATTGTCGTACGCCGCCCACTGGCTTCCTTCGAACACGTTGTACAGGACCGTTGTATCTGGGTCGTAAAACGTCTGAACATCAAGGCTGCTGTTACGACTGACAATCTCCTGGTAATCTCCTGGTATGTTAAGACGCCAGCCGTATCGGAGCAAGAGCCAGGCATGGCTCCGGTTCTGAAGCGACAGACGCCGTCAGGTTGGAAGCATAACTGGGGTCCGACATCGTGAAGGATCGGCCTTAAAAGCAAAACCCCATGACGACATTCTCAGGCAGAATGCCGTTGCGCCAGAATAGGTCGAGGCCGTTCTCGATCATGTCCCAGTATAATAACTCATAGTAAGCAATGCGCCTATCGTATGTCAAGGGGTCAGAATTAATAGGACACGTTTTTTCGCCTACCCACCGCCGTTGGTATCTATCTCTTGAGAGGTTCTTTTGGAGGCCTGTGCTGGGCGAGTAGTACTTTCGTAGGATTGCCGCATCCTCCGGCCTTAGAGTTCGGCTGGCAGCCGTCATTGCATAAATCCTTGGTAATGCCGCGAAATCTATGTTTGCTTCACGATCATCACATTAGCTCGGATCCCGAAGCCACAAATAGTGGGTGGACAAGCCTGCATTAAACGCTAATCGGGTATTCAAAGATATCTTCAAGGGCGTACTGCCCATACTCTGCCATTGCGTTACAGTTGGACTTGCAGCCCTCGGAGCAGTCGTCGTCACCAAAGCGCATATATGAAAATGCCCACAGCATGCTACCCTGCACGAGTTGGAGTCGTCACAGAGAACACTCAGCTGAGCAGTAACGTGAAAGAAATGAAGGGCCCAATTGAGCCACGTAAGGAAGCCTTCATGATTGAGAGCGAAGGCAAAGACTGCCAGAGGTCAAAAAAGAGCTTATCAGCAAGACCGAGACGACCTTGATAACCAGAGAAGGCTTCGCATATACCAAAGGGTGAGACATGATCATTATCAAACTGGAATAGTCATTTCAGGTCTTCTGTTCTCAGGTGCAAGTATGCCCAGGGGTGTCATGGTGCTACGTGCCGGGTGAAGAAAGTCCTCCGTACAACTTGCATCAGCCGAGCAGCAGCTGGATTGGAAGACATTATACAACTCACATCTGCACTATTCACGATGGAACAATAGTCCGGTGGCCCATTCCACGTGATGGCTGTCAGTCTGCAGCTAAGAAGATCGCCTTACAAAGGGAATATTAAGCTATGCGGCGTAATTACACGAGTAGGTTGCAATGCCAGGGATCCTGCCCCGATACAGTGTCCAGGGTAAAGTACGGATAAAAGCAAGACTTCAAGTCGGACGGAACTTCCAACAAGGCCCCATGGTCGCTGGCAGGCATCACAGCACCAACACATGTAAGCCAAGAGAGTGAGCGCCAACACAAAGCTTAGCGCAGCGTCGCGCTTACCAAAGACCCTTTTACATGCGTCGCTGTGACTCATTCTTTTCTCTCTCGTCATTATCCCGTGCTTCCTTCCGCTAAAAGAGAAGCGATAAATCAGAGCTCGGCAAGTAGAACATCCAACTCAATATGAGCGGTGTCTTCTCGCCCCCATGGGGCATCTTCCCAGCCGAGCAGTATCTCATCGTAGGTCGACCGTTGCCGCCGAGTACGGCGCAGGCTGAAATTGTTGCAGCGCAACTGGAACCCTTCCTCGAACCTTTCACCAGATGACCAGACCCGCAAGCTTATCAGGTCCTTCATGTCGATGGACGAGATCCCAGCCGAGTGGCGAGCAGGCAAGAACGGCACCATCAGCCGCATCCCCACGACAGAAGAGGTGCGCGAGATTCTTCAACCTTGGCGGTCGGACAAGATCCGGAAGATTGCGGACCAGCTTCTCCACGAAACCTGCGACAACTTGGTCGTCCTCCGGACGTGCTACGACAGCGAAGGCGGCGACGAGAAAATGCAGCAGCTAATCACGCAGGAGGAAGATGCCGACGGCATGGGTTTTCTTCACGAAGAGCTTTACGAAGAGCTTTGGTGGCGCTATCTCGACGACCGAGAGCTTTACGACTTTGGCGATGATTGGAACAGGGTCTTTGATCTGCTCCCCGAGCTCGTCGGCCACTCTGGACGACGGAGAAGCATTGACCCCGCCAAGCTGGCCGAGGCCCGCGCATCAGAGAGCCCCGAAGGTGATATACAGTACTTGGCATTGTCTGATCGCCCGCTTCTAATAGCCTCTAGAGACGTCCTCGAGTGGGAGGACGAGGCAGAGTACGAGGTGGTGTTCCTCGACAAATATGGAAACCCGGTCCGATACTCCAGTGTTGGACCGGATGATATGATGTACCTGCGTATGGCTCTGCAACGCGGAATGCAGCTGTCTCAATGGTGGGCAGATGTCGAAGTTGCTGAGCCATACGAGGCCGACGGCGCGATGGGTCGGGTCCTCTATCGAGCTGCCAAGAGTTAGTGAACCTTTTTTGGCCGGACGGAATCACCGTAGGTAGCTTCTTACGGAAATTTGATCAGCATATACGTCTGTAACATGCACTTGCCATGCTATACCGGTCTGCTGCCTGCCTTGGCGTTGCTGCTGCTGCAAGACTGTAAGTGTAAGAATCTCGTGGTTCATTTCAAACTTGTCTGATAGGGAAAGCCTGGCACGGGTTAGTTGGATTCACGTTGGTCCAATCCTCATGTGTGTCCCCTCCAGATGCACCTAGCAGGTTTGTGAGCAATATTAACAAAAACTTTTAAACATTTACCCATAAAACCTCGCAGACTTCCAACCAACAATCCCCTGTAGCATCCATGCAACTTCGAATTGGAATTTCAGTGCTCTAACCCTAGCCGCCGGCATAACGGCGGGAATCAGCCGCCCGCTGTACCACATATACCCACACGCCGAGCTACAGATTGTGGCAGTCTAATCCCACGTCAGAGTTCCACTTTTAGAAGTTCTCCAGGCTGATACCATATTCACTGGCAACATCGGCGCAGAACTGGCCGCTGGCAACCTTGTGGAACTTGCTGCATCCGCGGGTGAGATTTGGCTGATGGGGGGTTGGAGTGACGACGGGGTCCGGCGCTGGCTGGAGGGTGTACTGACTCCTGTCCGGTGTGCAGACCGCGGGCGCGCGGGCGCCGGGTGGGGAAGGGTAGGAGACGGCATGCCCTCGCTATAGTAACAGTATGTGTTCATCAAGTTCAGATACGCTGCCGGGAAGGCGTCCGCGTCTTAGCCTTGGGCCCAGTCCTCGTCAGTGATCCAGCAGTACTTTGTGTATTCGCCTAATGATTGACTCTTTGGCCGAGTCTAAAGCTGTATGAAAACTCTGCAGGGGGTGTATATGATGGATTGAAAAGAGTTGCTGTGCCTAAGGACCCCCCTTCATACGTTGTCTCAACGGAGGCTGTCTTGAATGATGTGAAAAGGGGCGAAGAACTGCGATATCATCAGCGAAGAAGTTGTCACAACAGTTGACTTCCGAGTCCTCGTACAGGGTCCATGAACGTCTTGTCGTCGATTCTGCGGTCGTGGGGAATTCGAACGGACCCGGCGCTCTTCAAACCCAATTGTGCAAGCTTCCACATATACTTGCGAGGCAGATGGTTCTTCCAGCAAGCCCATCAGGATTAGAAGTCATATTGCTGTCGCACTTCGTCTTCAAGGTCTTGGGTTGGGGAATCACACAAAGTTAGTCCTCGTCATATGACGTTGGGGTTGATCCACGGGTTCTAAGAGGTGAGCTGCACTATAGTGAAGCCTTTGCTACTGGTTCTATCCTCGTAAGTCTGCCCTTGTTGGATCTGTGCGATGGTGCAAGTGTCCTGGATGCACAGCTTCATGCCGACCACCAACTCTCGACAGGAGTAATCCATGTATTTGTCGGCAATGTTTCGGTCTGTAGCTACGCTGTTTGCTCGAGATATTGGCTCGCAAGTGTCACCCTCCTGAACTGTGATCGTTGTCCCACGGCAAGTTGGAGTCAGGGACGGCGGCGGTTGTGTGTAGCTTGAGGTGTAGCTATTGGCTGGGGCCGGGTATGACGATAGCAACTCTTGGAAGCTTTCTTCGTCTACATGTCCCCGGCCATAGTCGGTGCTGACAATAGTGGCGGCAAATGTGAGATCACGATCAGAACATAGCTCCTTTTCGCCATCGTAGAACTCTGGAAGACAGACGCCTGACCTATCATGGCTGTAAGGGTCCAGCAGACTTCGCATTCGGTCACGATTTCGACTTACTCGTCTTGAATGCAGAGGAAACGATTCGCCCAGAGTAGCCCCTCTGCTATGGCCTGTCCGGAAGCTGTCATGGTGATATTTTCCCACAGCTTGTATCGCGTATGCCCTCATTCAGATGTCACGCTGCTCTTGAACGAGCGCAGCGATTCTCAGCAGGCGGAGCTGCAAAAGACATCAGTCGCTTCGCCGACGACGACCTCTCCGTTCGCAGGGCTATCAGCCGTGATTAAAAAGTCGCAGGTAGTGTTGTTGCTGAGCGCTGCATGACATCTAGCTGGTACGTCAGTCGGGACTTGGCCGGGCGTCTTCCAAAGTTGAATTCTGGAGACGGAGGCAGCGGCAAAGAGCCCCGTTGACAGTGCTTTGAGTCCAAACATGATTGGTCGTTTCTTGTTCTGTTGCCTGCAAAGGACATGAAAACGAACTTCGGATGGAGACCTCGTAGTCAGAGTTAACGAGAAGCACGGATGATGGTTTGACTAGAAGTATTCGCGCCAGCTGTACAAGACTTTGCTGGACAAGTTCCAACTAGTGACACGCATCGGCAGAAATAACCGGATCCGGTTCGATTCCCTCTCCAGATGGCGTTTCGTGTGTGCACGACCCGCAGCACCATCAGCATCTTCAGTATGTTGGCCGGGCCGTTACATGGTATGCTAGTGTCTTAGTAATCTAATCTTCTGTTTCTGCGAGGCACAGCCACCAACCATTGACATGCGGGCAGGATTTTGGTTTCTTGGGTTTAAAGTAATATGTAGCCTCACTCGAAACAGAAACATTCGTCCGATGCGCCGAGGAGGCAACGAAGTACTCCGCCGTCTTAGCCGCTGCATGAACGGATAATTACGGCGGAGATAAATACAACAGTCAAAGAGTGACTTCAACCCGCAGTCAGCCACATGCTTAGGCCAGCCAAGCTCCCCTGCCACTGAACATAGATTGTTCCTGATGGTCTTCCTTAGCCTCCTTGCACTCTGTACCTACATACAAGATATACACTACTGCAAAAGGGAGGCAGATAGATCAGCAGAAAACCAACATCATGAGTTCGATATTGTGGAAGCAGCATGCAGTTGGTATGACTGTTAGCTTAGCTCAACCCTCTAACTTCCTCTAGGCACGAAGAGGCGTTAATGAGAAAAACGTATTCTTTGCTGCAGGCAACAGCGTTGCATTGGGCAAGTCCCAATCTCCTATTCCTTCCGGGCAACTCTCGTGGCAAAACAATAATAATAGAAGTTGACTCGACGCCCAAAGACAGGGCGAACCTGCCGTGCATCTTACGCCAGATCAAAACCCACCAACTCACTTAAGTCGGTTCGTCGAGGGCGAGACATGCGACTCCATATCGTCGGACTGGGGCATACCCATGTCTCAATTCCTCACACTGAACCCTTCTGTTGGACCTTACTGCAAGAACGGACTCACTCTTGGTGAAGAATACAGTGTTGAGGGAGAGTTTGAACCTGGAATAATATCTACTGTGGCATCTGCAACTGCTACGTCCACCGAAGCGTCTTCGACGACTTGACGCCCCTCTGCCCCTTCACTAACTCAGCTGGTACTGATGCGACATATGAGCTGTTTCTAGTTTTGGTCTGAAGAAGATTCCATGAAAGATTGCAGGTACCTCATTTTATCAGGTCGTCTCTGGTGATAACTGTGAAGTTATCTCCAGCAAGCATCCAGCGCCTTCAGCGTTGCGGGATTGTGAGTGGTCCCAGATCCATTTGTCAATCCAAGATGAGCCAAGAGCAGCCAACCTAACACGTTTCACAGCTATGCTTGGAACCCAGTGGTTGGGAACACTTGCACCGGTCTCTGGCTTGGATACTTCGTTTGTGTCGGAATCCCCAGCACCCCAACAGCTGCCACAGGAGCGAGACCTTCCGCCACAGGCGGACCAAGTCCCCCGTCACTAATATAGCTAGGTCTTATCTCATTTAGTAGGATTTCGTATAATAATAAATACTACTAAGCTAATATACTATAGGTTAAGAGTTCTACTTAGTAAAGTCTAAAAACACTTTTAATATAATTAAGACTTAGTATAATATTAACTTATTAGATTTATAAGCTATATTATTTAATATATAAGATAATTAATCTAGATAGTAGCTATAAATAGAATCCTATAGTAAGTTCTACCTACTTAGGACTTTAACTTAGTTACTATATTATACCTAGTACTTTAAAGCCTCTATTTATAACTCTAATAGTAACTAATAGACCTAATCCTTTATTACCTACTTAGCTTAGTCTTATTAAGTATTATAGGTTTCTATTTCTAATTAGGTAATATATAAAACTATTTACTTTATCTCTAAGTAGTAAATTCCACTTAGTTAACTTATTTAATATATATAAAATTATTATAAATTAATATAGAATTAACCTAATAAACTTATAAGTATATAATAATATAGCCCTATATAATAGCTATATAGTATATATAGACCTTTAAAATAACACTAATACTATTATAGATACTAATAGAACCTTACTATTAGCCCTAACTATACTAGACTTTAGATTAGAAAATATATCTATATAGGTATACTAAGTAGGTCGCCCTAACTAAAACTAACTAGTAGTATATAGGTATTATTAATAGGACTAACGCCTATATATACTAAAATCTTAACGAACTATAATTAATAGTATTAAATCCCTAGCACCCTAATAGCTACTATAGGAGTGAGACCTTCTACTATAAGTAGACTAAGTCCCCTATTACTAATATAACTAAGTCTTATCTTATTTAGTAAGATTTTATATAATAATAAATACTACTAAGCTAATATACTATAGGCTAAAAGTTCTACTTAGTAAAGTTTAAAAACACTTTTAATATAATTAAGACTTAGTATAGTATTAACCTATTAGATTTATAAGCTATATTATTTAATATATAAGATAATTAATCTAAATAGTAGTTATAAATAGAATCCTATAGTAGGTTCTATCTACTTAGGACTTTAATTTAACTATTATACTATACTTAGTACTTTAAAGCCTCTATCTATAACTTTAATAGTAATTAGTAGACTTAATCCTCTATTACTTATTTAGCTTAGCTTTATTAAATATTATAGGTTTCTATTTCTAATTAGATAATATATAAAACTATCTACCTTATCTCTAAGTAGTAAATTCTACTTAGTTAACTTATTTAATATATATAAAATTATTATAAACTAGTATAGAATTAACTTAGTAAACTTATAGGTATATAATAATATAGCCCTATATAATAGCTATATAGTATATATAGACCTTTAAAATAATATTAATATTATTATAGTTACTAATAGAACCCTACTATTAGCTTTAACTACACTAAACTTTAGATTAGAAAATATATCTATATAGGTATACTAAGTAGGTCGCCCTAACTAAAACTAACTAGTAGTATATAGGTACTATTAATAGGACTAACGCCTATATATATATTATAGTTAGCTATCTAACAGTAAGGTTTACTAATAGAAGCTAGGGATTAATATATTATAATAGTACACTAAGGTTATAGTCTAAGTTATAAGTTATAAGCTATAATAGATTAGGTCTTTTAGAGACTAAGGTAATTAGTCTTAAGCTTAATAAGTGATTTATAGTAAAAATAAGCTAAGAGTATTTATAAGGATAAATACTAAGTTAATTACTAAAAAACTATAGAAGTTTAACCTTAAGTAAAGCTTAAGTTATACTATATATAAGTCCTAAACAGTATCCTTTATCTACTTTTAGGTAATCACCTAGGTATATAAATAATTATAATTAGTTAGTAATACTAACTAATTACTAAGTATTTCTTCTTATACTCTACTAATTATTCTCTTTATCTTATTATTATATAACTTATACTATAGTTCTTCTATTCTAAGTAAGTTCTTATTATTCCTATTAGTTCTATAATATAAATATCTTATCCTAGTTACTTAGCACCTAAATAGGTTAGTTAACTATTATTTATATATAATAAGTTATAATATTAGGTCCCCTCTCTAAAAGTCTTATCCTTAAGACCTAATATAAGTAGGTTATTAGTCTTAAGTTAAGGATCTATTAATTATACTTCCTATTTTTACTTATAATACTAATACTATATTAAGTTATATTTAGAAATTAAAATTAAATATTACCTCTACTCTTTATTATTATAACTATACTTTATATATTACTAAGTTTAGTCTAATTATTAATATACCTTATTCTTATTATTATTCTTTAGAGAAGTGTTATAAGCTTCTCCCTAGTAGAGAAGTTTATAGTAAGTATACTTATTTAGAGTAATTCTATAATATAGTAGTAGATACTATTTATACTTATAAGTTTCTTATTTTTACTATATTTCCTATTTAGTACTAACTTATCTTAGTTAATTACTTACTAAATAAAGTTACTTATTTAGAGGATACTAAAGTAGCTAAAGAGGAGGTTTTAAGAAGGAAAGTAGTTACTTTATATATTATATAAGTTAAGTTAGATAAATCTATAATATAATTAAATTATTTATATAAGTAGAAAAAGATAGTATTTTAAAAAGGTTAAGAGGTTATAAAAGAGGAGCTAGTAATATCTCCTATATTAGAAGTTTAATTTATAAGTAGTTTTAATATTCTAAACTTAGATTTAATTCTTAACTAAAATCCTAATACTCTAAGTTTCTTATTAGGGGAGTCTTAGTTATATTCTAATATTCCTAGTTAAATAGATATATTTCCCTATTATATTAGTCTAAAGTATTCTCTTAGTTATACTTATATTAATAAGAGTTATATCCTTTATTTCTTAGCTTCTCTTTATTTCTATTATAACTCTTCTTATATTTATCTTTCTCTTTTATTAATATATTTTATATATTCCTTAAATTCTTTTAAAGTTATAAGTAGATTTAGTCTATCCTTAAGATTAATATAATTAAGTATTCTAATATACTTATTAATCTTATCTTAATAGTTAAGTAGGTTATTATTAAGTTCCTATATATTATCTTTATATCTATAGTTTTTCTATTTAATAAAGTATTCCTATTTATTATCTCTATACTAATAGTCTAATAGCTTCTCTACTTTATACTCTAGTTTATTATTTTCTATAATAATAAAGTTATTTATTTATAATCCTTATAATACTAACTTAAGAAGTGAAATATAAAATACTAAGTAATATTTTATAGTTTTTAAAAGTTTAAGTTTATAGTTAACTAATAAAATAACTTATAAAATTTTAAAAGGTTTAAGTTTTTTATAGTTAAGTTTATTACTTAGTTATTTTATTTTAATATTTTACTATATAAAGTAGGTATTATCTCCCTCTTTTAAGGTTAATCCCTTAATCCTTTATTTATTACTAAATCTTAATATTTATTATTAAATAAATTTAAGTTCTTTATAAGTATTACTTTAGATATCTTTAATTTATTATACTAAGGTAGTAGCTTTAACTATAGCTAAGCCTACTTAGGGTTCTCTATAAGTAGTTAGTTTAAAGCTATAATTAAAATAGAAGGAGGATTCCTTAATACTTTCTCTAATTATATTATTATAGGTAAACTAAGTAATTAGTAGTAATATAACCTAATTATCTTAGTTATAATTAATATAAGTATAGAGGTATATTTTAAGGATTTAGTTAATATATTCTATTTATTTATTAGTCTATAAATAAAATATAGTAGATATTAATTATTTAATACTAAGTTATAATATAATTAACTTCTAAAACTTAGAAGTAAAGATTTTATTTTAGTCTAATATAATTTCCTTAGGTATTTTATAGTTAGTAATAATATATTTAAAGAAGGTATATATATATTTTTTAGTATTACTTATTTCTTTATATAGGATAAAGTAAATATACTTTATAAGTTAGTCTACTATAATAAGAATATTATTAAAATATACTCCTATAAGGGGTTCTTATAACTTTAATAGTTTAATAATAAAGTTAAGTGATATAGATTACTAAGTAGTTTATAGTATAAGTAAAGGTTATAATATACTATAAAGTTAATATTAAGTAGGTTTACTTTTTAAGTATACCTTATAATCCTTAATTGCTTTTACTATATATTCTCTTATAACCTTTTTTCTATATTATTATTATAGTTATTTCTAAGTCTTTATAATTCCTTAATAACTATATATAGAGTGTATATAAAATTCTATAATTACTTTATTATTTAGTTTATTAATTAGGCTAATACTAAATCGTCTAGCTATTATTAAGAGTTTAGCTACTAGTACTAAGTCTCTATTATCTTATTATTTAAGAATTATTTAAGTTCCCTTAAGTATTAAGATATTATAATCTAATTATTAACTAAGAGTATTAGCTCTACTATTTTCTAATCTTTTTTAATAAATAATTTAGAAGTTAAATTTAAATAAGAATTCTAACTATCTAATCTATTATTTATTTAACACTTTTAAGGTTATAAAGTATAATAAATTCTTATAATTTAAGTATATAAATACTTTATAGATAGTTCCTAAAAGCTTAGGTCTCTACTCTTTAAAAACTTTAATAATTACTATAAGTTCTTTATTATAGATCTAATAATTAAGTTCTAGTCTATAAAGCTTATAAGAGAAGAAAGTATAGGGGTATAGGTATCTTTCTAAATCTTATTATAATAGTTATGCTCTAATTATATAGTTAGATATATTAAGTTCTACTTTAAATTATTTTATTAGGTCTAGGATAATTAAAATAGGTTTACTAGTAATAAAGTCCTTAATCTTCTAGAATACTATCTATTATAATTCTTCCTATATAAAGGGTATATCTTTATAGTTAAGACTAGTAAGAGCTATATTAATTTTACTATAGTTTTTAATAAATTTATAATAGAAGTTAATAAACCCTAAGAATCTTTAGACTTCTTTAAGGTTATTAAGTACTAGCTATTCCTTAATAGCTTTANTTAAGTATTAGCTATTCCTTAATAGCTTTAACTTTATTTCTTAATATATAAACCTTTTTAGGGGTAATAGTAAATCTAAAGTATTCTACTTTTTATATATAAAATTTACTTTTTTTAGGTTTAATTAAGAGTTTAGCTTCTTAGAAAGCTTATAAAATATAATAAATATCTTCTTTATACTTCTTAAGTATAAGTAAGAAGATAAAGATATTATCTAAGTAGATAACTATATAGATATTAATATATTTATATAATATTATATTAATTATATTCTAAAATATTATAGGTATATTAATAAAGCTAAAGGGTATAATAAAGTACTTAAAATATCCTTTTTATATCTAGAAAGTAGTCTTCTATTCTTTACTTTATTTTATTTAAATTAAGTTATAAGCCTTTTTAAGATTAAAAGCTATAAACTAGTTAGCTCTATATAAAAGTTATTTTATTTTATCTATAAGGGGTAGTAAGTAGTAATTTTTAATTATTATTTCGTTAAGTATATAATAGTTAATATATAGCTATAGTTTTCTATTCTTCTTAAGTATAAATAGGATAAAGCTTCCTATTAGTAATATTAAAGGTTTAATATAACCTTTCTTAAGGTTTTCTTTAAGATACTTATCTAAAGCTTCTATCTCTATTAGGTTAAGTCTATAGATCTTATTAAATTATAGTTCCTTCCCTTCTTTAAGGGGGATTTTATAATTAAAACTAGTATATTTAAGTAGTTTAGTTTCTAATTTAATTATAAAGAGTTTCTTATAAACTTTATACTCTTCTAAAATAAATAGAAGTAAATTATTCTTCTATTTAAGATCTATTATTATTAATAGTAGTAATATAACTTACTTTACCTTAAGGTAGTAGATATATTATCTTATAATTTCTTACTATATTAGCTTATTTAAAGCTTATTTTTAATAGAGCTACTTAGGAACTAAATTATTATAATCCTAATAGAGTTAGCCTTTACTCTAATCTATCTATAGGTTACTTATTTATAACTAAAGTAGTCTTAATACTATATTATATATTCTTAAGTTAGTAATATTAAATTAGATTCTTTCTTTTTAATTTAAGTAGTTTATCTTAAAAAGTATAGTTTTATTATAAATAGTACCTCTTTTATACTTAAATTCTTCTCCTTCTACTATATATAATTAATATAGTTATTTTTTTCCTCTTTATAGTACTTTTAGCTTATTAATAGCTTAGAGGGTAATAAAGTTTACTTTAGCTCTATTATTAATTAGTATAAGTATTATCTATTAGTTAATAGTAACTTTAAGTTTTATATTATCTTAATATCTTTATAATATTTAGTAGATAAACCTTTTCCTTATTACTTATTATAGTTTTATATTAGTAAGTAAGTCTAATTTTTTAATTACTCTAAATATCCTAAGTAAGTAATTTGCTTTCCTTCCTATTATACCTTTATAAAGCTATTTTTATAATATCTAACTTAAAGAGGTTAAGGTTTATTCTTTATAATTCTCTAGGTATATACTTTTTCCTTATAGTAGATTTAGTATTTATTATATTAATATTTATTTTATTTTACTTATTTATTATAGAGGTATTTTATAAGAAATTATTAGCTAGAGGTGAATATAGTAATATTACTATTAAACTTTCTAAGTTTCTATCTAATAAGGATATATATAGTATAAACGTTTTATAAGAGACTATTATTATATTACCTAGGTTAGAAATAGTATTTATATTTATCTCCTATATAGATTTCATAATAATTAAAGAAATATTATACCTAAAAGAGGTATTAATAGTTAAGGTTAGTAATTCTAAGATATAAGTAATCTTTAATTCTAAGTTATAAGGTATAATATATTCTTAGCCTTATATTAAGTATATTATAAAGTTTAATAAACTATTTATTATTATATAGGTTAATTTATTTATATATAATTTGCTTAGGTATATTATCCTTCTTAGATTCCTCTTTAGAGCTAATATTATCTATACTAAGGGTAAGCTTATAGGCAATCTCTACCTAAGTATATTAGTATATAATATTATAAAGTTTATTTAAGTTATAAAGAGAACCTTCTCCTTCTCTAAAAGTCTAGTTATTTATAAAATTAAATAGTTACTATTTTTCTAAGGGGTTATACTAATAATCTAACTTATTATTAGATTCTTCCTTTATTTATTCTTTTAGTATTATATAAGTAGTTTAGTTTAGAAGTTTATAGTTAGTCTAACCTTAGTTATTAGTTATTTTTAAAGTAGAATTAGGAATTAGTTTAAGTTACTATACTTATAATATCTTATTAAGTTATTCTTAGGTTTTTCTATAGATTTTATTATTACTAGTATATATTATTATTAAGGTTCTTAGATATATATCTAAGGTAGTTATATTATATCTAGACTACTTAAAGTTACTATCCTTTAGGTAGTATCCTAATATTTCCTTATCTTTAAGGTAGATTTAATAGTTATTATTATAATATTTAGTCTAAGACTAAAATATATATAGGACTTTAGTAATAGTATTAACTTATTAGGGCTATTTAGTTACTAATTTCTAAGGAAGCTTTTTAAGCTACTTATAGTCTCTAGTAATATACCTTTATTTATTATAGTTATAATACTTAGGGTTCTATAGTTTCTTATTATTAAGTTTAGTTATTATATTAAGATCTATAGGTCTACTATATTATCTATAGGTAATATTTTAGTAAGTGTTATTCTAGTTATTTTAAGGTTTATTATTATTCTACTAAGGGTTAAACTTCTATTAAGGCTACTATTAGTATTTATATTTAGAGTTTAGTTCTTATTATTTTTCGCCCTTTTCCTTATAGTATTTAAAAAGTTAATTATTAATCTTAATAGTAAAGTTAGTATACTAAAGAAAGTCTTTAAGATAGTTAATCTTAATAATCTTATTCTTAACTTTATCCTTAAGTCCTTAATAGAATATAAAGATCTTAATTTCTTTAGTAAAGTTAAGTTAGATACTAAGTTATCTAAATATAGTAGTATATTCTTTAGTTAACTTTATCTATTATAGCTATATAAAGTCTCTCTTAGCTTATTATTTCTTATTAAAGTTTTAGAAGAGAGAATAGAAAGTATTTTTAAATCCCTTAAAGTTACTATAGATATTATAGGTCTTAGTAGAGTATTTATTTAAGGTTTTATACTTAAAGAACTTTTCTTAGATAGGTTTAAACTATTTAAAAGCTTATTTTTATAAATAAGTAGTAGTATAAATAACTTTCTTAGTCTAGTTAGTAAAATCTTTATAGTAGAAGTTCTAATAGTTCTTAACTTAGATTAGGAATAACTTAAGTTATCTAGGAGTACTATTATAAGTAATTAGAGTATTAAGTTTAAGTTTTTATTATCCTTTAGTAGAGGTTATAATAATATTAGTAGCTATATATAAAGTATAGATTTCTTCTTAGAGTTCTTTAATATTAGTACTACTATTTTATCCTCTAAGTTAAATAATTTTATTTTCTAGGTCTATAATATACTAGAGGCTATTTCTTAGTTATTATATTATTTTTTTAAGGTTTTAAAGTTCTATAGTAATATTATTATATATAGTTTAGATTTTAATAATATTATTATCTCCTTTCTTAATTCTAGCTTAAAAGTATTTATAGGTATCTTTCTTTAGGGTTACCTTATTATTAGAGTTTACTACTATAGAAGTTCCTTTAAGTTCTTTAGCTAGGTTCTAAACTAGCTACTATAAAGAAGAGGAGGTTCTTAAAATAAGTAACTTAATAGAGGTATGTGAAGATATATTTATTATTTTTACTATTAGTAAGTATTAATAATTAACTTACTAAATAGAAGTAATTAAAATATTATAGTTAGTTATCTAATAATAAGGTTTACTAATAGAAACTAAAGATTAATATATTATAATAGTATACTAAGGTTATAATCTAAGTTATAAGTTATAAGTTATAGTAGATTAGGTTTTTTAGAGACTAAGGTAATTAGTCTTAAACTTAATNTTATAAGCTATAGTAGATTAGGTCTTTTAGAGACTAAAGTAATTAGTCTTAAACTTAATAAATAATTTATAATAAAAGTAAGCTAAGAGTATCTATAAGGATAAATACTAAGTTAATTACTAAAGAGCTATAGAAGTCTAACCTTAAATAAAGCTTAAGTTATATTATATATAAATCCTAAATAGTATCCTTTATTTACTTTTAGGTAATTACTTAGGTATATAGGTAATTATAATTAGTTAGTAATATTAACTAATTACTAAATATTTCTTCCTATACTCTACTAATCGTTCTCCTTATCTTATTATTATATAACTTATACTATAGTTCTTCTATTCTAAGTAAGTCCCTATTATTCCTATTAGCTCTATAGTATAAATATCCTATCCTAGCTACCCAGCGCCTAAGTAGGTTAGTTAACTGTTATCTATATATAACAGGTTGTAACAATATACTGAAATCTTAACGAACTGTAACTAATAGTATTAAGCCGTCTCAAAAGACTTTTGTCAGAAGATTATTAACACTCACAACAGCGCTTTCACTCTAAGTCACTTATAAGTTCTCATTTCATCTCCCCCAGCCTATCAACCAAACTCCTTAGATAAATTAAGAACTATTACTAACCCTTCTAAATAAAGTTACTCCTAGAACCCAGCTGTTAGTACTAACTGCAGTAGCCTTTAGCTTAGGTATTACTACTGCGTTAGCATTACGTCTCAGAAGCAAAACTTATAAATTATTTCCTTAATAGCCTGCAACTCTTCTTTAGAGGGGTTTATAGGGGAGCGTATATAATATTATGTGAGAGCTAGTTAGAGATGTAGGATTGGCTCTTGTGAGACGGCTGGGCCTATACTTCTGCGCATAGATATTAGTGCCTCGCGGCGCGCTCAATCAGGCGGATGAATGATTGGCATCCCGGTTGCAACGCGATGCTGGCGGTGATGGCAACAAGACTTTCTACGATGTGGTCAACAAACCGAGTTATCATTACTATCCTCTATGACTTAATTTTCAGAAGCACTCAGTGCCCGCCTTTGCAAAATCTAAAACACGAGGTCCATGTAATACGTGCCAGCATAATCGAGAGAAAACCGCGTTATATCTGCCGCAGGAAGTACCAAGATCAGTGACGTGGCTAAGAACTGTTACGCCGATTCGCCAATTCGCTAATCACATGATGTAGATCACTTGGTCTGCAGCAACCATGCATGCAGGAAGGGCATTTCCGCCAACGGCCTTGATTGGAATGAGCCTGTCTGATCACTATCAGTACCCCGCTTCTCAGGTGAAGTGCCAACAAAGCGATGAATAAACATCTACATGAAAACGAACCGTACACGCGACGGCGTTGATATCTCCATATCGTCCGCTGACACTTCTTTTCCGCCGCCCTACGAGCGAAGAGGTCCCATCTAAAAGTCCGGCTCCACAAAAGAACGAGGCCATGCCGGTCTTTAATCAATACTACTACGAACCTCTGGAAACGATAGATGCACTGCGACTTGTTGCTCTAGATCCGGCGACGGATGAAAGAGATCCCTTGAGCTGCAGGATTGTGCAATGCCGGCGTTCCGCACAGAGACAAGAATACTCTGCTGTTTCATATACATGGGGCGAGCAACCCCCCTCACAGACTTTGGAAATCTGGTGCGATGATGACATCTCGTACGTGAGGATTACCGCTAACGTCGACGCACTCTTGCGACATTTTCGCGGGCGGGAGAAGCCTTATTATTTGTGGATTGACGCTATATGTCTCGACCAGACAAACGGAAAGGAGAAGTCCCAGCAAATCCCTTTAATGGGACGAATATATAGAGAGGCAAAAGACGTGCGCATTTGGCTGGGTTCAAATGATCGCATAACTGCGAAGGTCTTCACACTTTTGCGCTTACTCAGTCAGCTCCCTAAAATTCAACCGCAGTGGCATATGGCTGGACGCGTTGTCTTTCACTTGAACGAAGTCTTCTGTCGTGAAGACGGAGTGGTCGGGTTAAAGTCTTTACACGACTTTTTTTCGCGGCCTTGGTTCTCCCGTCGATGGGTGGTTCAGGAGGCAATGCTCGCCCCCGAGGCAATTGTTCACTGCGGACGGTATTCCCTTGCTTTGCTATCCATCTCTTTGGCCGCCACGCGTTTCCTCAGTCTCGACGTGGCTTGTTACCCAGTCAATATGGCGGCAAACCTATGCGAGCCTACCACCAAGCGCGGCATACTAGAGCTACTGTGGCACTTCCATGAAGCCGAGTGTCGTGACCCTAAAGATCGTATTGCCGCCCTTCTTGGCCTCGTACCGAACGAAAAGAGATTTCCCCTCGACTACACTGCCCACTGGACGGAGTTGTACAGGCAGGTTGCCTTAATGGCCTTTGGTCTTAACGACAGGTCCATCAACTTCCAATTACTAATTCATTTATTTGAGTTCGGCCCCGTGTGCTATCCAGGAGATGCCTTTTATCCGTCGTGGGTCCCTGACTGGTCAAAGTCTCGGAAGCGGACCCTACCTTTCTTTTCTGACATACGAAACCCGGACACCCACGAGCGGTATCCTACCTCACCCAAATGGCGGGAATATTCGACTTTCACGGTTGACAGCGGCGTCCCACGGGTCCATTGGCATCCCTCGATCGGCGGGGAGCGGGGTTACCGGGTTACCTACGTTAAGAAATATCATTCGTTTCTACTCGATGACAATTGCAGAGCTGGGCGTGTAATGGAAGTATTGGACGAGCTTTTCCCCGCCACTCTCGACTTTACACGGCATATTCTCGCCCTTTCTTCTTTGCTAGCAAAGGCGAAAGAGTTCCGCCACTCCGGTCGGGACCGAGAAATCAATGATGCATCTTTCAATAATTACATAACCAAGATCAACCTTAGATTCCCAGAATCGACAGGCGCAGGTTTAATTCACTCCTTTCAGTACTTGGATACTCTTTTGCAGGAATTCTGCCTGTTCCAGCTGGAGCCACCTGAGCCACGCGCGAAAGACGATTCATGTCGTTTGTATGGCATTGGCCCCAAGACTACGGAGATTGGCGACGTTATGATACCACTGTGGGAGCCAGAATGGAAACGTGGTGCGCAAAGGACTTGTTCGAGGGGGAAGGAATGGGACTTCCGCTTTACCACGATGCTCGCCGTGAAGTATGTTGGAGAACCACTCCTCCAGCATGAGAGCAATGTGCCGGACGAAAAGATGCCGGTCCATAAGGGCAAAGTGATTGGTCCAGCAATTTGTGTCATCTCAGAAGGCGAGCGGAACTGCATACATGATAAGAGAAAGGAGTTTCCTTCGGGGATGGATCAGTGGCATTCAATGCGCTTAATATAGATCCTGTGGCAGGTGGTATAGCTTCTCAGAACTCTCACGTCCCAAATCTCAACGTTAAGTTCAAAACTCAGATGGATCTCCGACGGGACAGTTGTGGACAACGTCACGACGTGCTTGGCGCCTGTGGCAGACTTAGTGCTGTCGTCTTGGACAAGAGGGTCCTGTCCTCCACTCGAGAGCGCTCGGCCCCACTGGCTTAATTGGCATCGGCAGCTTCTACAACGGATGCTTCTTTGTCCCTGTCGCTAATAACCTTGGGGAAGTCGCAATCACAATCGGCGTTAAAGCCGTCGAAGTCGTCATCAGTCGCAGCAGAATCGTGGTCTTCGAAAGAGACCGCACTTTCTGGGTTGCTGCAGCCGCCGGCGGGCAGGCGTCACGTATCGAGCTCCTGGCGCTCGAGGTGTGCCGAAATCCCGGCAAAAATTGAAGAAAGAAGATGGACCCACAGGTCCGCTACTCCGTCAAGTCCGTGCCGAAAGCTCCGTGCGCCACCGGCCACTCGGTGAAAGCGGGACGGGCAGTTGCCCCCGCTCCGGGTGGAGACCCTAGACCGCTCTGCAGCCAAAGTTTGCCGAGCTGCAGACAGCTCCTTTGAGGCAGATAACAGGCTTTACTGCTTTGCGACAGTTACAAAAGGGCCCATGGATCTTTTCGCAGTGTGGGCTGCGACAAGGATGGGCAAAACACGGCATCTGTGAAGGTGGTTGTAGGCACGAGCCTAAATCCCCTGATAAGGGCGAGCCAGCGAGGAGATCAAAATCCATGACCTGGCTCTCTACTGCCGGCAGCCTGCTCCTCAAATCTGGGCTCAATAGCAATACCCTTTTTGTTAAGCATCACCTTTCCTGTCATGTGCGGCGCGATGGGAAGCCTCGGTTGAGAGGTCGATCGGAAATACCCAACCCACTGCCACTTGCAGTGGCATCGGCAGTGCAGCACACGAGTTGGAGGTTGACCGCCGAAGGTGCAGTTGTCATTTCGGCTGAAATGCGGCGGTGGTGAGTTCTCATTCTCTTCAGGCTACCAGTCAGTTTGGAACTCTTCCTGTGGACCCATTGGGTGCTGGATAAGGTACCGTGGCGGGGAGCCAGGAAAAAGACCATTGCGGAGACAGCAAGTTGAAGTTACCTTGCAGGTCGAAGCACGGAGAATTCTACGGTTCCATTCAGGTCAACGTCTTATTCCATGGCGCGCTAGAAAGCTTCCACTGACTTGACCGGGAAGCTCCTACATTCAGGACTTACTGCCAGTCTGAGATGCAAGCACCAACTGCCGAATTGAGCGCCAGAATCAGCAGTCAGTCACTGTAAAGGATGTAATTCGGCACCCTCCACCCCATCTCTTTGTCCTGAAAGCACCCGCGCCGATAGCTCACACGTCAAAAACAGGCTCAAGGTGTGTAGTTGAAGTTGGACTTCCCCACGAGACCTTTGGTGGGCAGAACGACGTCCTAATTCTCGCTCATGAGTGGTTGGGCAGGAACGACTTTGAGATGTAATGAGCAGGATACATACGCGAGAGCATCGGGGCCAGGAATCTGTATTTGCAACAGCTCCCTCCCTTCTCAACAGCTACCTCCCTCGGACGCAAAGGCAACATTCTGCAGCATATCAAGGGCTGGGCGCCGATTTCAGCGCTGGAGCTGGTGGCCGACGGGGAGCATACACACCTATCCACAGTGGTCGGCAGGGGAAGTGGCGACGGTTTTCTCACCATCTCCCGTGAAGCAGTGACACCAACCAAACTGGCCCAACTGCACAGACTACAGTAGTGGTTGCAGTCACTGTGGCCCGACCGTGCAACATTGAGCGACAGGAAAGTGGTGTTTGCCCTTTCGTCACTACTTCCCCTGAAGGGCAATGTGCACCCCGAGCCCAGCCAAGAGCAGTCACACCGTGCTTTTCCTGTTGGTCCCGCGGTGGACAGAGATTAGCCGTCAACCATAACTGTCGCTAATAGAGAGGTTTTCCCCATATGTGAATGGATGTTTTGCCTTCTTCAACACGGCTTCTGCTGCGTCGCATGCCGAGTAAAGCCTGAGATCATCGTCAAGACCATCACTTGGGGTTCAGAGATGCACGTCTCCAAAATCAGAGCGACGGTGTGCAAGATGTTCCGGATGCTCCGGAGTTAGGCTCGGAGAGAGTACCGTAGACAGAACGTGAACTGCCCTGAGCTCCACCCTGGACAAGAGCTCCAATAAGGGTTCCAACTCAAAAAGAGCTCCAACAAGAGCTCAGATATGCTCAGGTTAGGATTGCGAATCTCAGGATCCTGGAGTTTGCCCAGGATCATCAGAGGCGACACCTTCACCAAGACACCTGAGTAGGTAGAGATTGCGAGTGTTAATTTGCAGCGGTCAGGCACGTATGCATCTTTGATGCGACTCCTGTGGTACTAGATAATCTGAAATGAGCGTCAAATGCTAGTCGCGAAATTGATGAAGTGGGCGCAAGGTCTGGTTTTCCACGAGACAGCCTTTCGTGTTTCAATTCTGCAATATTTTGAGAAAGTGGAGCTTCTGGTAGACAACAGCACTTTGATTAGTCCATACGCAGTAATTCTTGTATCACCGCAGAACGGCCTGTAGTAGATATCTCTTAATCCATGTTGTTCCCCATACAGCGGAATTTATGTTGCTTTATTTCGAACACTTCTTGACTCATGTCGGCTGAAGAGCTTTCGAAATCCTCCTTTTGACTTCATTTACTTGAGCCTCAACAATCTCTTGTATTTGTTTCGCCATACCGTCTTCAACGGTTTTGCGGATTTCTTCTTGGGCCTTGCACACCATACCTTCCATCAAGTCCTGGAACTCGTCACTGACATCTAGCATCTGTTTCCCGAGCTCGTCATGTTTCGCGGCAAGCTCGTCCACATCGCCAGACAAACAGTCAACGGCATCGTCAAAGTCGTCTTGGCGCTCTGCCAATTGAGAACAGGTTCCTTCCAGATCACCAACTAGTTCCTCTTGTTTTTTCTTCCACGTCTGCATTATCTCAACTCTCTTCTGTAGTTCTCCGACGGTTGTCCGTAACTGGTCGACAGTCTTTTGTAGCTCTTCGTTCTGTTGGTCTCGCTGCCTAATTTGTTGTTGCAGGTCATGCAAAATTGCGACCTGGTTCTCGCCATCTAGATCGACGAACAGGGATCGCTGTAATTTCTCGGGTCGATGGGCGTGCGTTGCGGATGACGTTGTGGCACGTATGGACCATTTCCTTTTTGTTGTTGGACGGTTGTCTTCAGTTCCGCAAGGGGGAGCGGCCAGATGGGGATCCAGTGAATCATCCCGTCGTTTGGCATCGCCATACTCTGGCAGGTCGCAGTCGGCTGCGGGAGTTGTGGCGATGATGGATGCGGCGTCTGATCCGGCCCTCGGTGACTGTCCTTCGGTCACGCATTCGGCATACGGCGGCGGTGAGCCGCGGCGGCCTCGGCAAGGCGGCACCTCATCGAAGGGGAGCGTGCTACCGCTACCGCACGAGGCGGGCGTTCCAGGAGCAGGAGGACTGCAGCGATCTCGCGTGGGCGAAGGACCAAGATGGCCGTGAGGTACGTGCACTTTGTCGCCAGCGCCATGATACAGCCTGCGCGCATCCACCATGCACTTATACGGTTGCTTCTCGGGTTCCGTCAACAGTGAGAATTGTCCAACAGCCCACACGTATTTATTGAACGTCTTCCGACGCAAGATATCGTGTCGAAAATACAGGGAAAACAGCGAGGCCGCCGCGAGAGACCTGAGCGATGCGCATGTATCTAAGATCCGATCACCAGGTACGTTGTCGATATCTGAGTCCACTGGTTGGATCAGGTCGATTGTCCCGTGGCTGCGCAGCTTGAATCGGAGACAGGCTACCGAATGCATGCCACCCAGCAGTCCGCGGACAACTTCAACATGAGCCGGGCCTGGATTGGCGGCGTTGACCTTCCCATAAACTTCCTTCTCCAACGACTTGATGTCTCCGGCTTTTATTTGTACGCAGGCGGTGGTCGTAGTTGACGCGTTGTCAATGACTGGGAAGAGGCGAAAGAATACGGAGGCGTGCGGGGAATATCGGGCGCGCAACTGAAAATGTTGTTCAATCACCTCGGGCGATCGTCCCTTCTCTTCAAGCACCACAATAACATCGGAGGCATCGAATTGGAAGTCTTGCCCAGACGGCTTGTCATGACTGCCTTCGGTCGACATGCCAGACCTACGGAGTGACGTGGTCAATAGCGACAGGAGGGGGTTCAATACTCACCGTTGTGGTGTTGTCCGTTACTCCGTTCTGCAGCATGCCCCTTCGCGCGCTCCTACTCGACAAGACGCGTCCGGCGGGACTCCAACCCAGCTCAGAGTGCATGGGCAACTATTGTGCGAACAGTAGAATGGCCGGGCGACTAGTCACGACTCCAGGCGCGAAGCTGCGAAGACTACGGTCTGGAATGGTTCTAGCGGAAACCCAGCCCTACTCGCACAATGAGCCGCGCCAGCAGGTGAACGGTCGGAATCCTGAACGCAGAGGACTGTCCGATAGAAGCACGGGAGAAAAGCTGGTTGAGGGGAGCGGAGTCCACGACGTTGAAGAGGATGCCGATGATGATCGGTGAAAGGAGGCATTCGGAGCGGATTGAAAAAGGGAGAAAGCCGGAAGCACAGAGGTTGCCTGAGGAATGAGGAGTTTGGGGATGGACCCACTATGAACAAAATGGCTGATTGGCTGATTGATCCAGGTACAGTGGATCTGCTTCCCCGAAAGGGTGGGCCGTGCCCCGAGCACCGCAGCCGCGTGACATGTCCAGCCACCTCTCACCTTCCTGGCGTGGCTGGTGTGGTGCTTGCGGCGCCACGGTCCATGACATCTTACGTAAGGTCAGAGACCCAACACAAAGCCCTGTTTTGTCCGGAAAATCATCAGAAGACCAACCCTTCGCTGATTGAGGACGACCACGTCGAGAGCCATCTGACAAGATTGCCACCGACTGCAGCTAAGGACCGGAGCGTAACTTTCGTTATTTTTTCTCTCCTTCTTCTTTTTCGTCTTTTTGTCCAGTGAATTCTTGGACCAGTCATTGGAGATGACAGGTATCGGCCGTCTCCGTGCTGCTGAAGACGTATTAGAGACCCCACAGACGAATCCTACCTCTAATTAGCTCTCACGCAATCACTCCCCGCCAGCTGTCTGCCTACATAGTAACGTGTCCAATTAGTCAACACAACAAGGGTGGTGGTGCATGACATTGCACCCAGCACAACTGCGCAGTATTGCCGCACCAATAGGAGGTACTGTGGTACCACCAAACTTCAGGTTTTGAGGCACAGTCGGTTGGATGCCTTGTCCCGTTTATGACCTGGGTTCGCAAAGGCGCTGTCCCATAAAACTTCCCGAAGGTCATTGGAATCATTCCTTCTTCATGGGTATTTCTTGCATCTACATGGCCGAACTCGTCACTTAACTTGCCCCCACTCGAGTTCATGGATCTTCCAACCCCATTCGTACACAGGAGTTTGCGGCATGAAGCATCAATCCGGGTCCTAGTGCTTCGTCCGTCACCCCGCCGCAGTGCTCCCATACGCTGCGAACTTCAAGAAATCAGTCTAGAGGATGCGCCAAGCTATGAAGCCCTGTCCTATGTCTGGGGCTCGCCGACGGGGACGCATCCGATCTCGTGTGATGGATTCACCATGCTCGTAACCCCGAATTGCCGGGACGCCTTGATTCACCTCAGGCGAAGGGTAACCAGAAGGATACTGTGGGTTGATGCTATATGTATCGACCAAGGGGAGTCAGACCGCAGCAAGAAAGAGCGCAATACTCAAGTCGTGCAGATGGGAAAGGTATACCAAACCGCGCGGCGCGTTGTCATCTGGCTCGGAACTGCAGACCAGGGGACGCGCGGCTTGTTTTCCCGACTAAAATTAGTTACGCCGTATGATTTGGCCTTCGTATTGATGGATGAGGTTGCAAAGCTCTCCGAAATTACAGAAAAACTACCAAAAAGGATCTCGAAGGCGGCGAGAGGTAGGACAAGTCGACCGAGACATTAAATCATGATCTAGATCTAACTGATCATTTACAGAGAAGGTTGACAAAATATGTTCCAGTGATGACTTTCGTCGGCTAGTGGACAATGAGTGGTTCAAACGCGTTTGGACTATCCAGGAAGCGGCATTTGCTCAAAAGATAATCCTATACTCTGGGCAGTCATCGCTGTCTTGGGGCTCGTTCATGATGGCACTCCACGCAAGTCCTCATACTGCTAATATTTCTACTATCCTCCATCGAGGCCGTACAGAATACAACAGGTCGATACCTGTTCTGGACGAAGTATGTCACAATTCTAATTTACGTTTCTGTTATCCCTCGGACTAGATGTCACCCACGACATAACAACAAAACAGTACTAGAAAACCCACTAGAGTTTCCTAATGTTACTATCTCCCGTCTTCTTGACGTTGTCGCATCTGCTGACTTATATTAATTTGAATTAGATGGGACGTTTCACGTATCGGGCAGAATTCTTTTCCTCTGGTGAAGGGGCGTTCAAATTCTTCTCAACTCTCCTCGTCCACCGCTGTTCCAGACCCCACGACAAGGTGTACGGAGTTTTCGCAATGCTGCAGGCAGCTGGTTGGGAAATGCTTCTGGAACCCGATTATGATAAGCCTGTGTTCGAGGTTTACGAAGAGTTCATGAGAGTTCTGATTAAGAGTAGCACTGGCTGGAACCAACTCTGGGCTCTCATGTTGGCAGTACGGCCTTTTGGACCATCCGACGACTTCCCGAGCTGGATTCCCGACTTTAACGACAGCCAGCTGTATAACGAAGAAACAGGTGTTACTTTCGGAACAGACTTCGTCTTCAAGAAACGGTTATCTTTCCCAGATTGGGCAGAACACGTGCCTATACCTTCCAGCCCTGGGACATTGAAGGTGCACGGCTTCCCCCTTGGAGTGGTGATCTGGCGAAAGGCCTTGATCCTGACGGAGTCCCAAGGCCAAAGTCCTTTTTGTCTTGATCGGAAGAACATTTTGACCTTTCAATCATGGTGTCGCCGTGTAGCGTCGCTAGGGGCATACCTGGACGGGACTCAGCAAGCTGCTGAGGTCTTTATGGAGGCTTTGGACTTCCGCGAGGACCTCGGAGATGACATCTTTCGGACCCTGCGTCATATGTGGTTCGACTTGATGCTCTATCCAGAATGCGAAAGGTCGGACGTGAGGGGGCTCTTGCATCACGTGGACACAGATGGGGATCGTTTGGCGGCAGAGGTTGTCATTGATTGTCTCCTCTACTGCTTCACGACACACTCTGACTCCTGGAATCTGTTGGCCAGCTTCCACCAGAGGCTCTGGTCAGCCCTCTCGCTTTACCAGTTGCTCATGCTTGACTCAGGGCACTTGGCGTTTGCGTGGCATACCTGTGTAAATGGCGATCTCGTTTTCCTGATCAAAGGGTGTCCATCCCCATTGGTGCTAGGCTGCCCAGACAGACTGGAAAAGGATAGGATGCGCAACAGACTGGAAAGGGACAGGATGCGCAAAACTCAACGCAGGTTCAGCTACAGAACACCCATTCAGGTTTCCAGTGTTGTTTCTCACGAAAATCCCTTACTAGCCCCTCAGGATCAGAAGACCTTAACTAAAGATTGGTCGCTATCCCCTGAGTCGTCGGCAAATATAAGTGGCCTCACACCAAATGATTCACAGTATAAGCTTATTGCGCCAGCATATGTTATAGGAGTTGCAAGTCACTTATTACAGGATATTAAGATATTAGGCGAAGAAATCACTATAATTTAGTAGTATTATAATATTAGTATATATTTACTAGGTAGGCACTCTAATATATATATATATATATATATATATATATATACTAAGGGATAGGGCGGGGGGGGAGTATCTATATTACTAAGTCTATTTAATTCTATATTATCTTTCTTTAACTTCTATTTGATATATAGGGCTTTAATTATACTAATATATATATATATATATAGTAAATTTATTATATAGTAGTTATAATTTAAGTATTTAGGCTAATCCTATATACTCACTTCTAATAAACTCTTTATAATACTTATTAACTAGAAGAAGTAAGTTATATATTTTACTATAGCTATAATTAAAGTTAAGTACTATTAATATTAATAATAAATATATATTAATATTATAAAGTTAATATTAGCTTAAATAATTATAAAGAATAAGCTAAAGATCATTATAGGCTATACCTACTTATTATATTTAAGTAATACTATAGACTACTAGGAATTCTACCCCTAGTAACTATATTTACTTAATAAGTACCTTATACCTATTTTTCCTCTATATAAGGAACTTCCTTTCTTTAGCTTAGATTACTATAATTAAAGTATCCTTAAATTAAATAAATAAGATGCTAGCCCCTTATATAACTAAGCTTTTTTAAATACCTACCTTAATAGTTATATAGTATAATAAATAATAAGTAGAAAATAGAGCTAATTAGGCTAGAAGTAGCTAGCTTAGAAGTAATATTAATAAATAAGGAGGTAGTTAAAATAATCTATATAGTTATTAATAAGTTTAATAACTAACTTTATAACTTAATAATCTTATAATAGGTTAATAATAAGTTAGCTATAGATCTAATATAAGTAACTATAGTAAATAATACTTTAGTATAATAATACTAAACTTTATAGTAATTATATTAATATTACTACTAATATTACTACTCTTTAAACTAGATATTACTTAGGAAATAAATAGTATTTAATATTTAAAACCTCTCTCTAACCTCCCTAAGTTTAGAGGAAGCTATAATAAATATACTATATAAGTATAATAGATATATAATAAGATTAAGATAGATTAAGGTTTTTATTTAAGTAATTAAGAGGTATAATACTTAATTAACTCCTATTTAGAACTTAAAATATATATAAAGGTATTTAGGGGCTATAGGCTATAGTTAGGTTAAACTAATAGAAGAAGTACCTAAAAGGTAGGTATAATATTACTATACTACTTTTACTTACTTCTTCTAAGTTTCTTCTTTTTTAGTTTTTAGTAAGTACTTACTAAGCCCTTACTATAGAGGGTTTTATACTTTAAATTTATAGACCTTTCTATTTATTTAGCCTCTACTAGCTAAGCTATCCTTAAGCCCTCTAGTTAAGTATTTAGTCCCTTATAATTATCCCCCTTCTAAATATAATAGTCCTTACTATATATCTAAGTATTATAACTAGTTTCTTATTAAAGTCCTTCCTCTTATCTAAGTAATATTTACTAAACTTAATGCTATTATCCTTATTATTTAGTAGGGTATTTACTTATTATATATTTATTAAAAGATAATAAAGTTTTTAGAGCTATAATTATAGTAACTAAACTATAGTTCTATTTATTAAAGCTTTTCTTTTTTTAAGTTCTTTTATATTCTCTATTTAGAGATACTCTAAAGGAATTTTATTATTTTTTTAAAGAAGAGTAGTTATCTTTAGGTTATAAGTTTTATTTCTAATATCTTACCCTTTATTTAGTAAGCTTTTTCCTATATAATATCTTTATAATAACTTTATTTTTTATCTTATTATTCCTCTTCTTAATAAGTTTATTATAAGGTTATTAAATAGGTTAGATAGTACTTATTATTATTAATTTACTACTCTTATCTCTTTATATATAATACTTATTATAGTAAATAACTACTATCTCTTATTATCTAAAGTTATAATTACCTCTATAATTATTTAATAAGGCCTCCTAGCTATTTATAAAGTAATAGCTTTTTTCTACCTCTAAAATTAGTTTCTTTTCTTCTTTAGTATATTATATCTATCTATAATAACTTTTATATTTTTATANCTTTTCTTCTTTAGTATATTATATCTATCTATAATAACTTTTATATTTTTATAAGTCCTTCTTTAAGCTTTTATAATATATTTATTAAACCTTCTTTTATTTTATAATACTTTTATAATTAATATTATAAATACTAAAAGCTTAATTTACTAACTCCTTAAAGAGTATAGCCTTAATAAAAAAGAGCTTAGTAATAATAACTATTAGTATAACTAAGTAGGTAATAATAAGTTTTATATTAGTTATATATTATAGCTCCTTAAGAACGCTTAAGTTATCTATACTTACTAAAAGGATAGTAACTATATATATAAGTTATACTATCTTTATAGTTATTATAGTTAGCTATCTAATAGTAAGGTCTACTAATAGAAGCTAGGGATTAATATGTTATAATAGTATATTAAGGTTATAGTTTAAGTTATAGGTTATAAGCTAGTTATAGATTAGATCTTTAGAGGCTAAAGTAATTAGTCTTAGTCTTAATAAGTAATTTGTAATAAAAGTAAGCTGAGAGTATTTATAAAGATAAATACTAAGTTAATTACTAAAGAGCTATAGAAGTCTAACTATAAGCTAAGTTTAAGGTTATACTATATATAAGTTATAAATAGTTCTTTATCTAACTTATTAATTCCTAACTAAGTATTAATAAGTACTTAGTAATTATTAGTAAGTGCTTAGTAGTCCTTACTAAGTATTTAGTGATCTATACTATCTATTTAGTTTTATCTTATTATTATATAACTTATACTATAGTTCTTCTATTTTCTAAGTAAGTTTCTATTATTCTTATAATCTTATAGTATAAATATCTTATCTTAGTTGCTTATTACCTAAGTAGGTTAGTTAATTATTATTTATATATAATAGGTTATAATATTAAGTCCCCTCTCTAAAGGTTTTATCCTTAAGATTTAATATAAGTAGGTTATTAGTCTTAAGTTAGGGATCTATTAATTATACTTTCTATTTTATTTATAATACTAATATTATATTAGGTTATATTATTAAAAATCTTATAATTTCTACGCTTTATTGCTATTATTATTCTCTTAATATTATTAAGAATAGTTTTAAAGTTATGCTTTATTATTACTATTATTTAAAGGGGTTTTATTATAAAATACTACTTAGGTTATTAGTTTATAGGGAGTGTATTACTATTAGTAGTACTTATTATTCCTATAATACTTCTAATAATATAATTTGCTAGTATAAAGTAGTATTTATTCTAGGTTTTTTTTTTTCTTTCTTTAGCTAACTA